GCCTCATCTTTCTCCCGCGGAGCAGCTGGTAGTTTCGAACTGCTGACCTTCCGGTTCGCAGCCCGATTCGTAACCCCTACGCTATCTCCCATAGCCATCCCTTATTCTTTCCTAACCCTTCCTGATATCTAAACTTTGTATCTGGGCAAATGCTATCCTTCTGATCTCATACGGTTGATTTTTCTGAGAAGCACACACCTCTCTAGTATTACTGCTCACCTTATACATCTATCCATTCTTTGGCTGGAAATTGAGCCATGGGACAAGTTCAGTTCCAAGCCTGAAGGGTAACTAAGGACCATAGTTTCAGGAGTTCTACCAGTCTTTATCTAACCAGTGAGCCGGGTCTGTTCAATGATTTTGAGTTTTGTGCCACATTTTTCTCTCACTCTAGCCAGGAACTTCTGAAGTAACTCTTTCAAAGTGGTAGGTATGGTGGTTGGGCACCATCTAGTTCTTCTGATCTCAGATTTGTGGAGGCTGAGTTCATATGATCCACCAGTCCTTTAGACTAATTCTTTCCACGTGTCTATGATTTTCTGCACTCTTTTTCTCTCCAGTCAAATACTATAGATAAAGGCTAATTTAAAATGCATTAATTAAGAAAAACAACTAATACAATTAAAGTAAGATTTAGCATTCACCAAGGAGCCTTGGTGGCACTGTACGACAAGCACTGAATTGCTAACCACAAGATTAACAGTTCAAACCCACCAGTCACTCCACAAGAGAAAAATGGGGCTTCATGCTACCATAAAGATTTACAGCCTCAGAAACCCTAAACAAGATCACTACGTGTTGGAATCAACTTGATGGTAGTGTGTTTAGCTTGGGCTTTAGTATTCACTGTTATCTGTGCCTCAGAAAAGTTCATCATATAAAAAAGAAAATAAAGAAGTACAAGTTCAGCTCTACTTACCCTACTCTAATCATTTTTGATTGAGGAATTATTATTTATGCTTCTGATACTCTTAATGTGAGAATATATACGAAAAGCAGTGTGCAGAGTACATTTCTTAGAAAAAAAATCAGAAAGCCCATGTTTCTGAAGTGTTTTCTTAAACCCCATTCATAAATCTTAACAACTAAACAAAGAAGTGATGAATAATATAAAAATCACTGATGTCTTAGATCATTTCCACAACAATGGACTATTTAAATGCAAACTTGTGAAGGGTAGTGGCTTTGTTTTTGTCTCTATCTTCTCACATATAACTGATGGGCAATAAATACTTACTATATGATTCTTACTGGACTGTATGATCCCAATGTAGTTTCTGACACTATACTCAACATATACCTAACATACAAGATTTTCAGACAGATTCGTCTATTTAAAACAGTATTACAGTGCCCTCTGCTGGTGGCTATTTTGTAGTAGCATTTATATTGCTTTATTCATCCAAAGAACAGTAGAAATCATACATTAGTCAAATGTTTGTCTTACTATATATGATACAGCTATTCCTCATTTACCAACTATTTCATCTGACATTCTGCATTTACAATTATTAAAAACCTATCGTGTGACTATTTTGCACATTAACAACATATACCTGACACATATATAATGAGCACGAAGGTACAAGGCAAGAATAATACTGGCTTCACGGTTACAGGTGTGTGCCAATTTGGCTGGGCCATGATACTTAGTGGTTTGGCAATTATATACTGATGTAATTTGGCTACTGTGCAATGATGTGATCATCCTCTATTTTTGCTAACAACCTAATCTTTGAAACCTCACCATGCCATAATTGAGGAGAGGGTGTAGAGTGTACCCATCTATGTATACAAAACACTAAAGAAACACTTCAGATACACTAAACCATATTTAACGTAGTAAAATAGCAATGATGCCATTTTGAAGTGTGATACAAAGTTGTTGTTCTTAAGTGCCATCAGTCGATTCCGACTCATAGTGACCCTGTATAGGGTTTCTAAGGAGCGGATGGTGAGCCTGAACCATCGACCTTGCAGTTCAAACTGGACTTGCAGTCCAGTACCATAAACCCATAGTGCCACAAGCACGCATTTATTACTGGCAACCAATTTGTAATATAATAGGCTTAACAGGGGTTGTTTTGTAACAAAAGGCTGTAAATCGAGTCAGATGTTTGTAACCCAGGGACTGTCTGCATTTATTATGAATTGTTGTATTAAGACTGAGAACAGGATTCTAGCATATACTTTAAATCATTTGTCTTTTGAGAAAAAAATTTATATGTACACTGTAACCAGTATTAGGGACAAATAGCAGTTGATCTAGACAAAATAACTTTACAATTTTAAGAAACCCTGACTTCTACTTTTTCAAATTCCCATTTGACGCCAATGAAAACAATGAGCCTCAGACTGGCAAATGAACATGCATGGCCAGAGAACGATTTATCTGTATTTTTTTTAAAGTTTATATGTGAAACAAATACTTAAAATTCCTAAGTCAATATAATTTCCCATATTACTGTTCAGTAAAATCAAAATAGTCTGATTTATAAAGCAGTAAAATTTTCAATTATTTGGCTAGACTTGAATTCTACAAATTGATAGCTCATTTTGATATATGAGGTAAAAATATCCAATTCCTTAAGATCGTTAAATTCTTAATTTTAAGTCCTTCATCTATTAAAATGAAGCTTTACCAGATAAAACTTTCATTTCAGTGATTATACTCAATGTTTTATTCAAAAGTTGCCCCTGCAACAATGTTGTGAAATGATGTTTATTCTTAGGCAAAGTGTTAGGTATTCAGCTGCTAACTGGGAGGCTGGTGGTTCAAGTTCATCTGGGGACAGATATGGTGATCTACTTCTCAAAAACCAGCTACGGAAACCCTATAGTGGTGGTTGGTGGTTATGTGCTGTGGAGTTGATTCCGACTCATACCAACCCTGTAAGGGTTTCCGAGATTGTAAACCTTTACGGGAGCAGAAAGCATCATCTTTCTCCAGCAGAACAGCTGGTAGTTTCAAACTACTGACCTTGAGGTTCGCAGGCCAATTTGTAACCACTACGCTATCAGCGCTCCTTATGGAAACTCTAAAGAGCACAGTTTTACTCTGGTACACATAGGGTCACGTTTAGTGGGAATGAACTCAATAGCAAATGGTTTGTTTTTTGGTTCACCGGCTTAACTCCTCAACTAGATTACAGAGATCCTTACTGGTAGGGCCCAAGTTTTATTCACCACGTATTCCCCAAAACTAGCATGTATTTGGTCTCCCATTCCAGAAAAAAAACCTCATTAAAATTGGCTGAGATAAACTGGATATAACTGTACCTTCTAAACCTCAAATATAAACATGTTTTTCACTTATGAACTTCCTACAGTATATTCAACAATCTCACAACCAGAATATTACATAAAAATTTTTATAAAATAAAACCCATATCCCTCTTTCCCATATGGCAATGAATTTCTTGTACTGTATTTCTAGCCTGAAAATAGTTTGAGCTACATCTTGCAATGATTATAGAAAGAAATATTATAAAAAGCAAATCCTAACTTCTTAATTAGGTAACTGACTGCGTAAATAATCCATCTTTACATAAACAAAATGCAAACACTATCAAGGTATGCAAATGCTATCAAGGTCAGGTTTATACTCTTTACTTTGGATTTTCAATGGCTGGAAATAAAAATAAAAGACATGATAAATCAGAATAGACATACAAGTTTCCTTCCATAAATGAATATAAAAATGTTATCATCAGCCCAAACAGGTCATTCCAACTTTAGCTACTTACTTGATGGCCCAAGGACATCTTTGCTATCACCCAGAAGCTTTTAATGCAGGGTAATTGAGCAGCAAACAAACACAATCCAAACCAGGAAGAAGCAAAATGCATCAGGACGGAAGCAGCAGTGAAACAAAAGGATAAGGAAAAGAGCATTAGTTTATAAGGAGAAAGCACATGCACATCATTACTAATAATCATAATTTATAAAAAATGTCCTGTCCCTACCCTCCTCAAAAAAACACCTGACTTAGCCATTATCAAGTACCAAGTATTTAATTTTGGAAAATGAAGGTGGGAAGAAAAGAATGGAACTGTCCAAATGTTTTGTTTTGTAAGTTACCGAAGTAAAAAAATTATTTTCAATTATAATTTAAGATATGGGTAAGGAGTGGTAAAAAATGATTTAAAATCATAAGGAATATCCAAAGGTTATTAATTCCTTAAATTTAAGTGGTTTATAAATATATAACCCCATGCATTATTAAAAATTAGTTTTGCATGCTAAAAGCACTTAACATAGCATAGAGATTTAGTCTGTTTCTTCTATGAAAAAAATGGAATAAACATTTATGGAGCAAAACCAAAACCAAACTTACTGCCAGTGAATCAGTTCTGACTCGGTGGCCCTATAGAACAGAGGAGAAATGCTCCATAGGGTTTCCAAAGCTGTAAATCTTTATGGAAGTAGGCCACCTCATCTTTCTCCCACATAGCAGCTGGTGTATTTGACTCACCCACCTTTCAGTTAACAGCCAATAATTAACCCACTGGCCACCACGATTCTTTAACATTTATTGAGTGCTTATTATATGCCAAGGACAAACTTCTTCAAAGACAAGCTTCCATAAGGACACCAACAAAATATAACAAATTTGTTCTCAAATGACAAAACAGAGGAAAATTGGTTAAAAAGATAAATTTTATTAAGCAGGGCAATATTTTTTTAAGACCCACGGAATAATCAAGCACATTATCTAGAGTTACTGGTATTTAGGAAGCCAGAAGACCCAATTCTTGAATGAAGAGCTTGTCAACAACTGAAAGAAACAGGAAAAAGACTACTGGCCGTTTGCCCAGTAACTATTTTAACACATAACATTACTCTAAATGTTGCCTTTGAATAAAATTTTTGGTCTCCTTTGGTAGGAACAGAGTCCTCAGCTCTCTTTAATTTTCAAATATCAATCAACTATAGTAACATTAAAATTACTTAAAGTAACAACAATAAATTCCTAGTGGCTATATTTATCCATTTGATTTAAAGGGAGTTGTTGTTGTTAACTGCCATCAAGTCGGTTATTTAAAGGGAATAAGGGACTCTTAAATGCCTGTTTTTTAAAAAAGAAGGAGGAGTGAAGATTTTTTCAAAAATCATAGAACAGTCATTCGTTAAGCTTCGTCTCCTTGGAAGAAATTTTGAGCTTGTTATTTTCCTAAAGTGATGGCTATTTCACAGTACTTCAAATTATTATGATCAAGATCTTATTACTGATAGACATGCTATCACAACCAGCAAGCTTGTGGGAAGACATTAAAATAACTGAGGTAGGCAGTCTCTAACATCAAGATACCATAAATCAGAATCCACTGAATGGAACTAACAACAGTCCCTAGCCTGGCTCCCAAGGATCCTTCACTTCCTGTAATTCATGTCCTCATATAATCACCCCTCCTGGAGAATGAGGTGAATTTACAGAAGCACTTCTAAGGAACAGAATATTGTAGAGGTGATGGGATTTTACTTCTGAGATTACAGTTGCTGTTGTTACTGCTTATCAATTCAGTTGTGAGAATTTTGTGTTCTTATGTTGAAGTATAATCAATACTGAAGTCTATGTCTTGGATCTTCATCAGTAAGTGCTTCAAGTTCTCTTCACTTTCAGCAAGCAAAGTTGTGACATCTTCATATTTCAGGTTGTTAACGAGTCTTCCTCCAATTATAATGCCGCATTCTTCTTCATATAATCCAGTTCCTTGGATTATTTGCTCAACGTAAAAACTGAATAAATATGGTGAAAGGATACAATTCTGATGCATACTTTTCTTGATGTTAAGCTGCACAGTACACATCCTTGTTCTGTTCAAATGACTGCCTCTTGATCTATGTATAGATTCCTCACAATTATATGTTCTGGGTTTCCCACTCTTCTCAATGTTGTTCATAATTTATTGTGATCCACAACAGTTAAATGCCTTGTAAAAAGAATGCAACTGCTCTCTATCGGAAAAGTCAAGCTGGAGAAAGCTAGTGCCACATCATAAGGTAACTTGTAGAATGGGCCCACTAGTCCTTGAGGAACTGACATGTGTCAACAATCACATAATTGAGTTTGGAAGCAGAGTCCCTGCCTCCCCTGCCATCCACCCACCCAGTTAAGTTTTCAGAGGAGAATGCAGAAGTTAGTTCCCTCTCACCTCAAAAGCTAACTGTAAGTACATGTAATCTTGAGTCAGAGCCACCTAGATAAATGGCTTCAGATTCTTGACCAACAGAAACTTAGATTATAAATCACATTGCTTTAAGATACTAAATTTTCGATAATAGATTATGCAGCAATAAATAACAACAATACTGGAAAACTAAAAGAACTTAAGATTGTAGGAAATTTACAAGTGTTTTCAAGGGCATCTTGTAAGAACATTTTTACTCTATTTTTATGAACAATTACCAGTTTCCCTAGATTTACCAGTAATTTCCTAAAGGAAAGCATTGGTTATAACTATTTACATACAAAGTTGGAAGTGTTTCTTTTCATAAAGACAGTAAAATACGAAGGCTAGAGTTAGCCTTCTACTTGCAATAAAATATTAAGCATATCTTTGTTGTAGTTATATTTTCAAGTTTTGTTGAAGAAACACACTATGTCAGCCGCTGTACAACCTTTTGCCTATTTACTTTCAGAAAATAATTCTCATATATATATCGTAACTCTTGAATATTTGTTTCAAAAACCTTGAATTATGCCTATTCTCAATATATGTCATATAAATTCAATTCTATTGGATTAGCATTTTATATATATATATACATATTTTTTTTTCCAGATTAAGGCACTGAAGAAAAATAAAAACACTATTTTTACCATCTGCCCATCCATCATTCAACCAATCTTAATTGAAATAACTACTATAGCCAGGCACTAGAGAATACTAGAAAGATGCTTACCCCTGTCTTATTGACTATACAAAAAGCATTTCACTGGGTGGATCATGACAAATTATGAATATTGTGAAGAATAGGAATTCCAAAGCACTTAATTGTGTTCATGAGGCATGTGTACAAAGAACAAGCAGCAGTTGTTCGAACGAAAGTAAATCCTGTGTGGTTTAAAATAAAAAAAAAGTTGTATATCAGAGCTGTATCCTTCCATCAAACTTAGTCAATTTGTATGTTGAGCAAATAATTCGAGAAGCTGAACTATATGAAGAATGCAGCATCAGGATAGGAAGACAGCTTGTGATATGCAGATGACAAAACTTTGCTTGCTGGAAGTAAAAAGGGCATGAAGCACTTACTGATGAAATTCAAAGACTATATACAGTCTTCAATCCAGATTACACCTCAGTATGAAGAAAACAAAAATCCTCACTACTAGAGCAACATCATCATAAACAGAGAAAAGACCAAAGCTGTCAAAGATTTCATTTTACTTGGATCCACAATAGATGCCCATCAAAGCATCAAGAATTCAAATGGTGTATTGGATGCACTAGACAAATCTACTGCTAAAGATCTGTTTAAAGCAGGGGTGAGGAACCTTTTTTCTGCCAAGGGCCATTTGGATATTTATAATATCATTCTTGGGCCATATAAAATTATCAACTTAAAAATTAGCCTGTTAAATTCAAACATTTAATTGCTGTTGTTGTTAAGTGCGATCAAGGCGATTCCAACCCATAGCGACCCTGTATAAGGTTTGTGAAGAGCAGCTAGTGAGCTTGAATCATCGACCTTGCAATTCCAACAGCTTTGCAGTCTGACTCATTACCCCACAGCGCCACATACCAGGACATTACTCACCCCTAATATGGGTCGGAACCGACTCGATGGCACTTCAACAACAACAACAACAATATGAGATGGGAGGAGCTCTGGTAGCATAGTGGTTATGAATCGGGCTGCGAACCACAAGGTTAGCAGTTCCAAACTACCAGCTGTTCTGCGGGAGAAGATGAGGCTTTCTTCCCCCGTAAAAATTAACAGCCTCGGAAACCCTGTACAGGGTTGCTATTGGTCAGAATTGACTCAACAGCACTTAACAACAACAATGAGTTGGAAGCAGCTCTGGTAGCATAGTGGTTTTGAATCAGGCTGTGAGCCTTAAGGTCAACAGTTAGAAATTACCAGCTGTTCCACGGAAGAAAGATGAGGCTTTCTGCTCCTGTAAAGATTTACAGCCTCAGAAACCCTGTATAGGGTCACTCTGAGTCGGAACCGACTCCAAGGCACATAACCACCACCACCAGTATGAGTTGGAGGAGGCCAGGTGTGGCGCTGTGTGTTAATGTGCTAGACTGCAAAGTCAGTTTGAACTGCAAGGTTGGTGGTTCAAGCTCACCAGTCACTCCTTGGAAACCCTCTACAGGGACGCTATGGGTCGTAACAGACTTGACAGCACTTAACTTAATGATGATATGAGTTGGAACCTACTCCACAGCACATAACCTTCAACACCAATGTGATGGCAGGAATTGTGGTGACTTGGCAGGGCCAGACCAAGTGATTTCACCCCTGGTTTAAAGTGTTAAAAGGAAAAGATGTCACCTTGAAGACTAAAGTGATCCAAGTCATAGTATTTTCATTCACCTCATATGCACACAAAAGCTGGAAAATGAATAAGGAAGACAGAAGAATTGATGGCTTTGAGTTATGATGTTGGTACATAAGTGAATATACAATGACATGTCAGAAGAATGAACAAATTTGTCTGAGATGAAGTATAGGCAGAATACTCCTTAGAAGGGAGAGTAGAAAGAAAAGTACTTCTCATGTACTTTGGACATGTTATTAGAAGGACCAGAACCTAGAGTAGGACATCATGC